CTTCCGATCTAGAAATTATTAACACATACAGTAAAGTGGCAGGTTACAAAATTAACCTACAAAAGTCTATAGCCTTTCTATATACCAATAACAAGCAATCAGAGAAAAAGTACATGGAAACACTCCCTATCACAATAGCTGAAATCAAAAGACCTTGGAATAAACCTGACCAAAGACCTCTACAATGAAAATTTTAAAACTTTAAAGAAAGAGATTGAGGAAGACATCAGAAGATGGAAGGACCTCCCATGCTCATGGATTGGAAAAATTAATGTTGTGAAAATGACCATCCTACCAAAAGCCATTTAGAGATTCAATGCAACGACAATCAAAATCCCCATGACATTCTTCACAGAGTTGGAAAAAAACATCCTAAGATACATATGGATGCAAAAAAGATCTCAGATAGCCAAAGCAACCCTGAGCACTGAGTGAAATGCTGGGGAGATTACTATACCAGACTCTACCAGACAGAGTTATAGTCATAAAAACAACATGGTACTGGCATAAAAATAGACTTGTAGATCAACAGAATAAAGTTGAAGACCCAAATATGAGTACATGCAATTTCAGCCACCTGAAATTTGACAAATTAGCCAAGAACAATCACTGGAGGAAAGACAGCATGTTCAGCAAATGATGCTGGTAAAACTGGATCTGCACCTGTAGAAGAATGAAACTAAATCCCTATCTTTCACCTTGCATAAAAGCCAACTCCAGATAGATCAAAGACCTCAATGTGAAGCCTAAAACTCTGAAACTGTTAGAAGAAAACATTGGCAATAACCTACAAGATATAGGTGTAGGAAAGGATTTTTAAACCGAATATCAATGGCTAAGGAAACAAGGTCAAGAATCAACAAATGGGACGTCATTAAACTAAAAAGCTTCTGTACATCGAAAGAAGCAACCAAGGAAGTGAAGAGAAAACCCACAAAGTGGGAGGAAATCTTCACCAGCAACACATCTTACAGAGGTTTAACGTCCAGAATATATAATGAACTCAAAAAAAACAAAGAATCAAGAAAGGGAGTAATTGAATTAAAAGATGGACTAAGGAGCTGAACAGAGAAGAATAAAAAGAAGTTCTCAAAAGAAGAAATAAAGATTGCTGGGAAGCGTGTTAAAATGTGTTCAACATCTTTTAGGGAAGTTGAAATTAAAATTAAATTAATTAGGGAAATGAAAATTAAAACCACTTTAAGATTTCATCTTCCCGCAGTAAGACTGGCTATGTCCAAGAGAATAAATGATAACACATTTTGGAGAGGATGTGAGGAAAGGGGAATTCTAATCCACTGCTGGTGGGATTGCAAATTTGTTTAAGCCATGTGGAAAGCAGTGTGGAGAACTCTTAAAAAACTACAAATGAACCTACTATTTTTCCCAGTTATACCACTTCTTGGTATATACCCAAAGAATTCAACCTGTTGCAGAGACACTTGTACATAAATGTTTGTTGCTGCTCTTTTCACAATAGCTAAGAGATTGAAGCAACCTAAGTGTCCCTTAACTGATGAGTGGATAATGAAAATGTGGTTCATTTATACAATGGAGTTTTACTCAGTAGTAAATAAAGATGAAATCATGAAATTTACAGGCAAATGGAAGGAATTAGAAACTGTTACGTAACATGAAATAACACAGACTCAGAAAAAAAAAGACATATGTTCTCCCTCATATGTGGATCCTAGCACCAAATCCTTGTAAGTATGTGTCCAGACATAACTACAGTAACCAGGATAATGAAAAGGAACCAGGGAGGTAAAGGAAAAGAAAGAATCTGAAAGAGAAGAACAGTAGGAAACAGATGTTAATAAGGGAAATATGGATAAAATGGGTTATTTTAAGGGGAGGGGGAGGGAGGATTATACAAGGAACCTTGGGGATAAAGGGAAAGAAGGACCTCAAGAGAGGTGGGACCATAGGAGAAGGGTATTATTATTAAGGGAGAAATGGGAAAAATGAGGGCACTTTAAATG